GCCTGCGCTGAAAGCTTACACCATCCCGAGGCAGAGACTTCAGATTTACAGTATACGATGCTGTATAACTGCTTATTACATACTGGCTTTTATGCAAGAAACCACACATTTAATTAAGACATTTTACGGTCAACACAAATTCCTACATGTAGGCAATCCCTGGCTGAGTAATACACAATAACCACTGTGGAAACAGGCAAAATCCCAGAAGTGCCCCCCTTTATTCTTTTTTCTACGTTATACTGCTTCTAAGACATGAGCTGCCTTCATATTGGTGTCCTTCATTCCTGTTGCATTTGCTGTCTTTCTGTGTTTTTTAATTGTTAATAAAGCTCAGGCAGAAGAAACCAGCTGCACAAATATACATCAGGACACCTGAAAATCATCTCTAAAATCCCCTCCTGCTGTGTGTCACAAGGCTCCTCTGTGCTCTGCTGCACCGTCTGTATGGCATGGCTACTGTGTTGCTCATCTAAATTAAATTGATGATTTGTGTACTAGTATCACTGTTGGTCAGCCAGAAAAGTTGCTGAGACCCTCTGATATGCAGATTTTATGGTTGAACTGAAGGCAGGGTAGACAGACAGAATGTGAACCTTAATAATTCAAAAACAAATTCCTTCTGTCCTTTAAGAGAAACACAAAAGATAAGAAAGCAGCGATTCTCATTTGTTTAAAGGCTTCATTACAGATGCATTCTGCCTGTCTGTGAATTATTATCATTTCAAGGATTCAATGTGCAGAAGGGTACAAGTTTTCAAGTGGTATGCGGGAGAATTTAGAGCAGATGAACAAGCCACAGTCGAAGGGTTTTTTTTTTGCATTGCCTAACTAGATTATCACCATCCCTGCCCTACTTTCATTTTCCACCCCTAAACGTGTATTAACCACAGAAAGTCATTTGCATCAGGGTGTTTATTTACACATCAACAATGTTCTTTAAAAAATAAGAAGGAGGGAGTGCAGCTGTCTAGTTTCCAGCAGTGCAGCTTCGTGCAGGGCACCGGGTGCTTTCTGCGGCCTGTCTGTTAGTCTGGGTGAGCTGCATCATAAAAGCTGCATCTGCCACAGTTGGGTTATGTTCAACATGCCTCTCCACCCCCGCTACCGCCACCCTCCCTCCTTGTTCCTTCCTTTATTGGGACTTCCTGTGATCGTCTTGGTTCAAGCCTAATCACCAAAGCATCAAGTGCACAAGATACTTATCACAGTGGCATGAAGAAACATAGGGCCTAAAAGAACAGATCCTATTACAGATTTAAATGAACAGCACCTTCTCTGCATTATATAGAAGAATTAGAATTGTTTAACCCCTACCAAAAGGCTTTCTACACATTGGATCAATTTTGATGAAGTCCTCTGTCTGGTTTTTGTCCCCTCACTACTTTCCAGTGCTGTGAATACAGATATGGCATTTCTACACAGTTCATGGTGTCACTCCCTTCCTTTAAGTATGCATTCTGTGCATGTCCCCAGTCTAGATCCTCAAGACTTCAGAGTTTATCAGAAGCTTCTGGTTCATCTCCAGCCAATGGCTGTTTAAATACATTTACCCCCTTGTCTTCATCACTTTAAAAGGCGAGTTATCTATTAAGCTAAAGCTGTGTGAATCTGTATTAATATATATGAGTGGCAGCCATTTCTCATCCCTTCTTAGTCTTCTCTGTCCAAGACTAAAGGTGTTCTGTTCCTTCAGCCTGTCAGTGTAGGACATTCCCTTATGCCCCAGAATGCATCTGGTTGCTCTTCTATGGACAGATTCCTGATCAGCAATATCTTTTCTGTGGTGTGGTCACCAAAATCATCCACAATATTCTAAGTGAGGCCTTATTAGTGCACAATACAATATTAACATAATATCCCTTAATAGAAATTCTGTGCTTTTAACTATGTATCCTAATACTGTTTGCCTTTTTAATTGTTTGCCTACATTATCTAGAAGATGTAAAAGATGTGTCAACATTAATCTTTTCATGTAAAGGAATGAAGTCAAGGCTGTAGTCGACGGTTCCTGAAAAGGCTGTTGTTACTCACCATAGAATCACATACTGTGTCTGCAGTGAGAGGACGCAAAATTATTCAGCTAGTTTGAATAATGGCTTTGCTCTTGATTGAGGGACTCCCTTCCTTTCCTGTTTGATTGCAAGTAGGAAATGCACAGCTATGTTAATTGAGAAATAATGTGAGTTAAAAATTGGATAAGAATGTAGCAAACGTCTAACGATTGTGAGGTATTAGAACTAACTGTGAGGTATAATAACAAAGACTGCAAAGTTCTGATGGGCTAAAGCTGAACAAGGCCATGTTGTTGTTTTGTTTTTAGCTTCATTAGCTGTGAGCCCAAAGTTAATGATTTTTGTTTCTTTTTTATTAGAAACCGGTAGCTGTTAATAGTTGCCAGTGAAAGGGAGGCATGGAGTCCTGGTTGTTTGAAGTGGTTTCTATGATTCAGTAGCCCTTTCATCTCCATGCAGTATTAGAGCTGGCCCCCTGCCAGAAGGTTATAAGACTTAATGAAAATCATAGCATATGTTGCATTCTGTATAAAAAAGCAGGCTACTCTGCAAGAGAGGCCCAGCATGCCCTAGTATATGTGTATATTTGCTTTCTTTGGAACGGTTAGACCCAAAGACCTCTTGTAAATCAAACATGGACCCTTCAGGAGAAGCCTCTGATGATAAGTTAAAGGATCCCAGGGTTGTTTTCCCAATTGGTGACAAAATAATTAGGTACTTTACTCACAGTATTGCAAGGTGTAGTTTAAGCAAGACAGGTACTTAAAAGAATTTGCACACATACTGTACATTTTGAACACAGTTTTTGATATCCTTTGTTCTACGAATACGCACATACATTCAAATATTTGATACGGAAAGAACCATGAACGGGTCCACAGTGTTAATTCCAGAAAACAATATGGGATGGGGACAGGCAGGCAGCTTGAGATAACACATATTTTGGAGGATGTGTCCCACCCTCGAGAATGCAAGAGTAAGGCCAGTGGGTTTACAACTGTAGGAAAAAGGTATAATATCAATTACTGGTGAAAGGAAATCTGATGTTTGCAAGGTATTCAGGATTCCAAATTGTTCTTTTTAAGAAATTAAAAGCCTGTGAAGAAGATAAGGTTTTGTTTTGGAGACGTTTGAAAAATAAAAAGCCACGTTTACATGTATTATGATATAACTTATCAAAATCAAAACAGTATAGGTTCAACAAAGTGAATTCCAAAATCCTGGTACTCAGAAATTGCAGTGGTTAGAAGAAGTTCACTAAACAACATACAGTAAATTCATGGAAAATGTTATGTTTTTAGGTTATGACAAATTTTGCTTTCTAAAAAAGTTTAATTCTTCACATAACTGTTCTAATGTCACTAACGTTGCTAATACTATACGTACACTCTTTGGCTTGCTTTTTGTTTGAAGCCCATGAATACAGTATCTTTTTTTTAATTTACTCAATATTGTCTGGTGCCTCACTTGTGATATATACTGTTTTACTTCTGCAACTGGTAATCAAAAGGAAAATTAATTGTTTTTTCAATGCACAATAGAGAAGGCAAGGTAGGAAAAAATCATCACCCAGATTACTGGTTTTCTTTGGGAGTTCAATATCTGGTCTTCATGTTGTTATATTTATATCACATTTTGTTATATTTTACAGCTTTGTTAAGTGCCTTGGGGCAACCTTGTTGTGAAAGGCGCTATATAAAAATAAATTGAATTGTATTTATTGGATTCACCAGTTAACAGGAGTTATTTGGAATCTGAGTTTCCTTAAAAGTGTCGTGGATGTGGTGGTAGTTTGGCATTCTTCATAGCTCAGTAGATAAACAGTGGCAACATATAGCTGACAAGAATTTGGCTAGACAGAGAGCTGAGGGCAACAATTTCTGCCACCTGTCTCTTTTGCTCATGACTTTTATAACAAAGTAGATAGACGGAAGACTTTTATAAGAAAGGTTTACAGCACTCCCTATTGTGTCAACGGCTATGGTACTACTTATCATTACTGTCTGCTGTGTTGCCCATATTCATAATTAATTATATCGAACTTAATCCCAGTCCTTTTAATACTGTAATTCATATATCCTTGGTCATGTATAAGATGGGAAATGGGGATGAAATTGAATCATAGGTCATTTCCACTTGTAACTAAGGAATCATTTTAAATCTGATGATTACAGTATGTCATAGTTTCAGAATCTTTATCCTAAATTAAAGTTTGCCATGGTAACTTTTGCAGAAACATTTTCTGTTTTACCATAGTTTGCTGCGCTCACACAATGAAATGTTTACATATCATTTTCCATATTTTGTATGATAAATAATCATTAGCTCTAATAAATGATCAAACTTTTAGTATGAATAACTTTCATTCACTGTACTATAATTTACACTTTCATTTTTCTTTCAAATGTAAGTTGCTATTTGATTTCCACAGGAATATGCTTCACTGTCACAACAAAGGACATTTTTCAGGGTAACTTGTGACACACACAATAAAACTGACTGGTGGATTGTCCAGGCTCCAGAATACACCAGGAAACCTACTTTTCATCTAGGCTGACCCAAATAATAGAATTACAAAGCACTTTATGATGTTCATATAAGTTTGAAAAACAGTGTCCAAATGCTGTGAATGAAAATACTTAGAATTTTTTAGATCTTGCTGTTCATTAAGTCCACCAAATCTTTATTTTATAGACCCTGTAGCTGGTGAGCTTTTCATTGAACTGACCTGGAGATCAAAACAAGAAAAAGAAAAAAACAAAAGCTGAAGGGGATGTTCTGGTTTTATGATTTAAATTTACTCCTTGATGAATGCTCTTCATGTCTTCTGAAAAATAAACTGGGACATAGCAGTCAGTAGCTATCATTAATACTCTCTTGTCCTTAGTTTGTTCGAATTAGGGGCCTCTGCCTGTAAAAGCCTAAATTGGTCTTTAGGAGTTTACATCTACGTTGCCTAGCTGGAGATGTCTGTTCTTTTGCCAGCTCCACGGTTATATGGAAAGCGAGCCGCTCACCCTGCAGCTCTTCATCGGGACGGCAGACGACCGCCTGCTGCGCCCGCACGCCTTCTACCAGGTCCACCGCATCACGGGCAAGACTGTCTCCACCGCCAGCCACGAGGTCATGCTCTCCAACACCAAGGTGCTGGAGATCCCGCTGCTGCCCGAAAACAACATGCGCGCCATGTGAGTCCGCCGTCCGCCGCCCTCCGCCCTCCCTGCTCGCTCTGTGCGAATGAGTGGGTGTGCGCGCACGCCCGCGTGTTAAACCTTCAGCAACAGCTCCAGCTAACATGGTCCCTCCTTGGCCCTCGAAACTGCCGAAGGGTTTTCTTTAAAAACTGCCTCCCGTCTAACTTTGTGCTTGTTTGCTGGTTTCAATTAAATAACAAGAGGGGCAGACGGCAGAGAAGCCGTGCTGTGGAAATGCCAAGGAGCTGCTGCTCTGTTCAGAAGGCAAACTCTGGCACTTTGCAGATATTTAATACAATATGCAAGGGGGCCTCAAAACGTTGTATGCAACAGACAGTGAAATAGACTACACCTCTATTATGTATAACTGGATCTCTGCTGCCATGCAAAAGATTCAGTAGCACCCTCTAAATGAGTGCACTCCCCCAATCCATCTAATCACTGGAAAAGTCCAAAGCAAACTTTACCTATCGCTATGGAAACTGATTAGCTGCAACTTTATAGTTTCTATATCTGGCAAGCTGGACTGTCCTGAAATGAGTGGCCCCAAATGCTATCGGTAGTAAATTTCCTGCTAATAAACTCATGAGCTCAAGTTCCAAAACACCCAGTTTAGATCCCTCAGGGCTTGTTACCAGGGGTTGTTCCAGCCTTCATTGCAGGCAGTAGCATTTGGCATGGATTCATCAAGTCACTGTGGGTCAGCAAGCCCTCACTCAGCATTGTTCAGGAGGAATAATGAACTGTAATTGTAGTTATATCATGGCCTCTCTTAAACCTTTCTTTTGCATTAGAACAGTTCAACTCTCCCTTGACAATGTTGGGTGAGGTAAGGGTATCCCAGAAATTCAATTTTTTTTTTAAACGTATTCTGATATTTTTATACTGTCACAGGAGTTTTGTTGCTGGAGGCTTAAATCACATTAGGCGATACCCTGAGCTTAATTTAATATACTTTGACAAGGGAGAGACAAAATCAATTTCTTTTGAGGAAAAAAATCACAATATCCTCATGAGGCGAACAGATTTGTTTAGATGATGTAACAAAAATAAAAACAAATCAAATGTGTAAAGAAAAGGCTCCTTTGACTAAGGGAATATACACGACTAAATACAGTAATATCCCAGAAGAATGGCTTTTGAAAGCTAATATGCATTTCTTTTTAAAGGATTGAGCATATTGCCCTAAAAGTAATTACATATAAAATGATGCAGGAACTTTGGAACACACCACACAATTGCACTCAATCTGGGTGGCTACAGGCAATTAATGGGGCATCTGTTTGTATGGAGTGTGTGCACTCAAAGTATTCTCAGGGCTGTAGGTAAAAATGTCAGAACCAAACCTAGGAATTTTCCTGCAAATGTTGAAGTAGGTTACATATTCAATGGGAGATCTTTTAAATGTAGTGTTAATAGTGTAATTAAAGAAGTAAAAAACTTACACTAAATTTCCATCCTTTTTTATACATGCAAAACAATGTGTTTAGCTTTCCTGAAATACTCATTAACACTTATAAAGTGCACTGCATACTTACCCTGAAAAGTTAAGTGGTGGTAGCAGAACAGGTTTTGAAAACTGTAGTCTTTCAAAAAGAGAGAACAAGCTAGGAAAGTAAAAGTGAAGTTTTCTCCAGGGCTTCAACAGGAAAGTGTAGGCTGGTGGCAGCAAAAGGTTATGCTCCACTTACCAGCCCTGGTGGAGACTTTCCATAGGTTGTAAAAAGGCATCTTGATAGTTCTAGTCATGGCTAGCTTTGCGTGCCTGTGTGGGTTGAGGACAGTTAAAAAGATTTTTTTTGTGTCCCCTTTTGTTGTTAAAACTTTAGAACTACATTGCATCTGTAATGCAATAACTCACCTAATTTTATTAAACATTTCTGTATTTTAAACAAGTCACCTTGTCTTTCCTAACTGCTATTTATTGTCTTGCAAAATGTTATTGAAAAAGATCTGCAATTTATCCCTTCCAGAGAAAAAAAAAAAACTTTTAAATAAAAATAATATCCACCATCAACCATAGAAGTAGGAATTTACGTGTTTTAAATCAGGTAGAGTTCACACTAAATGTGAATTTAAAGGAAAACTTATTTTTGTATGGAATCATATTTCGTTTTAATAAGCAGAATTGTACTACTTTCAGTGAATTTAATCCATAATTAAAAAACACAGGAATTATGTAAATATCTGCCCAGATGACAAAAGTAATCTTTTTCTAGACACAATCTTTACTGAGCAATCCAGGTCCTTTTTTTTATGATTTCATGAGCGGGTAAGGCAACAAATGAAGTATTTTCCACTGAAAAAAAAATCCTTTAGTGGAAAACCCCAGACAGATTAAAGGTAAACGTGGCATTTGTTAAAAATGCTGAAGCTATGATGCTGAAAAGTTGAAAGTATGGAGCAAGAAAGAAAAGAACTAAAATGTTAATAAATTGTCTGAATAATTGCAGAAGTGGGTGTTAAAAGTGATGTCTGAGCCAGCAGGCTACTCTGCTGGAAATATCAATGGGGGGAGACCAAAGACCTTAAAAAAGGATCTCAAGGGAGCCTACTTTGTGGATCGTAAAAATGTATATTTATACATTTATTAAGTCATGAATGTGCAAAACAGTAATTTTTAAGATTTGGTGTGAAAATGCAGGTCTGCGGAATTGAGTGGAGCTTTCAGTGGACCTGACCGATTTGACCTCAAAGCATTCTACAAATCCCACCTCAATAAATCTTGAGCTGGGATGTGAATACAGAAACAGATTTGGATCTGTCTGATAGACTTCAGCAGGGAGTTCCACGAAGATGCAGCTTGACGAGGAGCTATTCCCTGATGTTTTCACTCGTGCTCTGGGAATGACCATTAGTCCAGAATCCTGAGGATGAAGATCTCACTCAGGAATGTAGGGCAGTAAAACCGCACTAGGAAGAAGAGGCTGAATTCAGTAGCCTTCTACAGTATATCTAGCAAAACAATTTTAATATCAATACGAAATAGGACTAGGAGCCACTGTAAAAGTTAAAATAAGAGCACCAAGTAGAGAATTGTGATAGTCAATACATGAGGAAAAAGTGAGTTATCTTGAGCCTTAAATAATATTTATTTTGTAAAAGTAAGCAGCTGAGAAATTGTCAAATGCAAGTACAACTTTCATAATTGATATTGAAGTTGTTCAAATTTGACTCTCTGATTCAAAGCCATTAATTATGTCAGACTGCAAATGAGATTGAGAAAAAATAAGTCACATATCAAATACCTCTGATTTGTCAGAAATAAGTAGGAGAAAATTCTAACTTATTTAGGTGTTGAATCAGCTGCTTGGTTGTTGAAGGATATGCTCATGGGTTAGATATTGAATAGCATAGCTCCAGGTGATTTTAACGACTTAATGTATGAGTATAGTCCAGCTCTTGATCTTAGATCTTCTGATTCAGGTCTTACTCCACCATAGACCTGTCTCTACTCAATGGTCAGTAGAATGGGCCTTCTTGTGTGGAGTGCCACTTTTGTGGAACACATTGTCCAGATCCTTGAGAGACTCTGTAACTGTCTACAATTTAAAAAGTGGTCCCTTGAAGACCACTTGTAATGTATAAATTTAGTTTCATTCTTGATTTTCATCCATCCATTTGGTAACCATTTTATACGCTACAGGGACATAAAGGAACTGCAGTATGTCCTGGCAAGCAAAGGGCACAAGACAGGGTACACCCTGGACAAGTCACCAGTCCATCACAGGACATATGCAGACATAAACATACACATTCACACCAGGGCCAGTTTTCCCAGAATCCAATTAACCTACCAGTATGTCTTTGGGAGGAAACCCACACATCATGGGGAGAACATCCAAACTCCATGCAGATAGCATCCCAAGTCCAGAACTGATCCCAGGGCCACAATGTTGCGAGGCAGAAATGCTAACTACTTCACTAATGTGCTGCCCCCATCTTGATTTTACAAGGTTAATTTTCTGTCTTTGTTATTGTTGACAGAATCGATTGTGCTGGAATCCTGAAGCTCCGCAATTCTGATATTGAGCTCCGAAAGGGGGAAACAGATATTGGGCGCAAGAACACTCGAGTGAGGATGGTCTTTCGCGTGCACATCAACCAGCCCAATGGCCGGACTGTCTCTTTGCAGGTGGCATCCAACCCCATTGAGTGCTGTGAGTACACTGCCTCTTCTCTGTCAACTGGGAAAGGAATATACTCATTATTGCACCCCCATTGAAATAATGGACATGTATGTCCAGTTACAAAAACAGATAAACAGATATTGTAGAATGCATACCTGACCAAAAGAGCCAATCAGCTTTGTCCCAGCCTCAGCATCTCATTCATCTTGGAACAAAAACAAAACATTTATTTTTAACTCTTGTCTTCTAACGTTTACTTTTTCTAGATTCTCTCACTTCCTCATTAGGGAACAAGCTGTTTTCCATCCCTCTCCACTCTGTGTCTTTAACTAGAAAGACGCAAGCCCATTGCTCATCAGCCCCTGGGCTATGTTAGGCCAGCAGCACTGTTTTATGTTTACTGTAGATTCTGGCTCTTTCTCTGGAAATAGAAGCAAACAGTACAATGTTGGACAAATTAAATCCTGTCTTGTTTTTCTCATTAATTTGTTAGGCTTCCCATTAACACTTTTAGGAAAATCCCAGTAAGTTCACCAACTCTGGGAATCTGGGTGAGGTCTTCATTCCTCATGGTACCCTTTTCACAGAAGGGGAGACCACTTCTTGACTGGACAAGCGAGACAGCATATCTCAACACTTGCCAGTGTGAGGTCCACAGCAGTGGATTGGTGCTGTGGGGGGTGTGGACAGTGGTCTTACTCTTTCAAGTTACTTGAGCCACATTAAATGTTTAAAAAAGAAAGGCAAGGCAAAAATATTGCACAAGTGCTGCTGCAGGATTTATTTCCATTTTGTAAAATATAGCATGATTATATCAGACAACAAAGTCAATGACTGTGGATCAAAGCATAGATGTGCTTGTTCAAAGTATTAGTTTGGTTTCTCAGTCCATCAATTCTAGTCTGGGCTGGTTGTGACAAGGTTTCCAAAAGTAGCAGCTGTCACTTAGAACTTGTATTTCCCTTGTGAGAGTTTGCTATGTTGAGTTTACCTTAGAGTTTTACTTCTTGATATGGTTTTGTGATGTGACCATGGGTATAAAGTGGTTTGCTATGGAATCACTAGGTTCACTACACTGGACCATGGGAATAGTAAAATGCTGTGGAAAATGTCAGGAGGTGACATGAATGCTTGTCAAACTGTCAGAAGGGTTGTGTCAGCATGAGTGTTGTCAGCCTATTTGATCCTTTTGACTTGCTATGCGCCTGTGAGTCTCAACATTGTCATCAGTGACAGTTGCATCATTCCTCTTGTTGAAGCCAGCAAGGCTGTGGACCCTTTGGGGACTTGCAATTTGAGGATGGGTCTGGGAAAGCCTGCAAGGTTTCCCTCCATTCTGTCATGACACAGGCATAACAGTGACCCACACTGGGTGTGCCCCAGTTGGTAGTGGGGTTTTTGGAAGGAAAACAACATTTTTTAATGATTTCAGATTTTTAACTTGTTTGTATATTTAGCTGTGAATATTGTTAAGAAAACACTTTTACAGTTCATTTTTTAATACCTTTGTGGAAAACAGATTATACAGTGCTGCTAAACTGTATACTGACTCAGACAAGTAAGGCTAGAGAGCAATACCCAGACTGGAAATTGTTTTGGAAGGTTGTTAAGAATCAACAGGAAAATTTAAGATTTCTATATTAAAAATCTCTTCCAAAGTCCAGAATGATTTTCATTTGTTTAAAACTTTTCCATTTGCCAATATCTGTTCCTAAGTAATATTTTATTGTACGTCAATATTGCAAAAAAAAAAGCCTTTTTGTTACTTCACAGTATAACTCAATGTCAAAGGCATCTGTGTTGTGGAGTAATAAACTATAATAACGGTAATTAAAAAACAATGGAATCCTCTGCGCTGAAATGTTGCCAGTATGGTTCTATAACATTTTGGTTAAGTCAGTAATCTTTTTGCTCCTTCTGAAACCAGAAAGAAAGCACTTTCTGGAATACAGAAGAGGGAGGGGAGCAGTGGGGGTTGTGGGATTCCTCTTGGCAACGTAAGCACTTTAAAAAAAAAAGTGTCTGGCGGTTCGGGGGTAGACGGGGAGTGGGTTTAAAGGAGCACAGTAGTGAGGAACCACTGCTTCTTCCAAACAGCTCAGAGATCTGCCCAGGAGCTGCCTCTGGTGGAGAAACAGAGTGTGGACAGCTACCCCGTGACTGGAGGGAAAAAGATGGTTCTGAGTGGACACAACTTCCTGCCCGACTCCAAAGTGGTGTTTGTGGAAAAAGCCCCAGGTAGGCTGACCGCCTGACAGCAGCCAGCTAAGAGTGAAAACTGTTCTGTGCCGTCTCACTCCCACTCAGAGCCTCGAAAATATGCGCTTTCCCCTCTCCCTGCCGTCAAAATATTCCTCAGCCTGCCAGAAAGCCACATGTGGTGTACATTAAGGCACTATATTTTTAACCAAACGTATTTACATTTGCAGAAGTTTCCATTGTCTGTTCACTGACGGTTGCCACAAGTAAAGGAATGAATCACAACAGGGCATGTGCAGTTACTCTAGAGTTGGAAGATTTGTTTTGATTTTTTTTTTCCATTTGTTTCCCTTCGGATGGGAAGTGACGGTTCCAAGATGTTGATATCAGACATTTACAAACAGAAATTTCCTTGATTAGCTTTCGAAAATTTGAACATTTCACAGGCAAAGGCGGAGAGTGTAAGCACATGCTGTATCATATGTTGTCAGGGTACCACTGTTTGTTATTTTGTTTTTGAATAAAGGGAAACCAATAACCCCTCCTGCAGTTCTCAAGTCTGCTAAAGGAATTTAAAGTCCAGGCCCTGTTTCTTCATTTACCATTACTGCAATTTCTCAGTCTGCCCTGCCTAAGCCTTTCCCTAAGCCTTTGCCCAGTAATGTCTTCACTTTTGCACCTGATCTGCTGAGTAGCTGAGCTACAGATTCAGAGGGGCTAAGTATTACCCCAAGGCAAGTTGCATCTATGGGGGAAATGGGTGGCCTTTAAATTCTCCTCTTCCACATTATTAATAATAATAAAGACTCCAGCAGAAGAAAACATTAGTCCTGAAGAAATCCTTTACTTTGTTTGATTTTTCACCCTGTATTCATTTGACTGTGGCCCTTGAGGGCTATATTCATGTTGTATAATGTATTTTAAAGCTGCAGTGTCTAGGGGTTTATATTTTCAAATGTGGCAAGCTTTGTAGTTTTTTTTTTTTGTTATTTCGTTATTTCATTGTATGTGGTTTTTTTTTTTCCCCGAGATGTTTAATAAAGCAGAACTGAAATGACGGCGGCCTCAGTGAGATTCAGAAATGATTCAACGCTCACAAAAGACTTCATTCTCCTGAAGTGCAGCTCTGTATCTGGCATTTACAACAGATATTCACAAATAAAATTTGCCCCCAGCTCTTTGAAAGTCAATGTAGAAGTCTACAGGTATAAATTAAGTAAGAGGCAGGAAAATATATATTTTTTTTACTCTAATCATAGCTGTTAAATTTTAGCTGGACATATTTGGGGGAAGACAATTCAGAGCATATTTTTCACTGAAGAAACAAAATTGGTGTCCTGTAAATATTTTAAATTAAAATATGATGCAAATATTGTGACAAATGTTTTTTGTTTGTTTTGTCATTTATGAATAATTGTTGTCCCTTTATTGTATCTGTGGCTATGGTCAGACATTAAAAAAAGTTTCAATTCAAAACCTATTAAAATAAGATGTATTAAAAATCAGAGGAGGCCATCTGGACCCTGATGCCCATGTTTTTTTACTCAGACCCATGTGGGAACCCTTTATATACTATTTGTCCAAACATGACTGCAATATGCAGCCTAACACCTGTTTCAGGCAATGGGACCAACTAGTTGGTTCAGGAAATGAATTTTAAACTAATTAAACAATTTCTTTACCAGAAAATCATGTTTATCTACTTCAGTAAGCAAGTAATGCATGCGCTAAATGCATTCTCAGTCTTTGTTAGACTCACAAAGGGAAAATAAATTTACTTATTATTCTTTTACGGTACAATAGGTAAAATAATTATTGGTCCCATTATTGTGAAATAAAAGCAATAAAAGTGTAATTTAAGGGGAGTGATTTTTAACGGAAACGTTAAGCACATAGTTCCTTCTTTAATTTACAACAAACCTTTGTTAATTACAAACATGAACATTCCTATGCTTGTAGGGGTATAGTTTTTAAACAGAATCTAAAATACATGTTCAGTGTTTCCAGTTTACTCCATTTTATTTGATCTCAAGGACCCCAAGAGACAGACTGAAATGCCCGCAAATACAAAATTCTTTGTTAACCCCAATGAAAAGAGGTTAAGCTGTTCAAAGGATGCAGGGCTCACAGATATCTAACCTGGTAAAAATCTGGTGGTCTACTAGTCAGGTGGTTGCCTGCTCATTGTTTGTGTGACTGTATAAAGGTCTCTGAAGAGACAAGGAATGAATAGGTCACATCTGGGGATAGGTCTGCAGATACTGTAGTATCCTCAGTTCATTGTGCAAGTCACCTTTGCTGCTGGCCATGCACCTGCTGTTACAGAGTGCTTATAAAGGTAATTGATATGTACAAACAAATATACTATGAACACTGCACTTTAAACAGGTGTGGAACCAAAGAGAACACATTCCAATGTATTCAAGCCATTGCGGACACTAGCTGTGGTAACACTGAGCTGACAAGGTGCTCTCTGATGTGCATTGTTATTGCTACTTGTTTCATGATGCACAGATTTGCAAAAAGCCAAATAACTTGATTAGCATTATATTATCAGACAGATCATTTAAACTCACTTGAAATCAAATCTCATCTGTTTTGTGAAATGTTCACCAAATGATTGGGGCCAAAACCCTGATCCAATCTGCTTCCAATTTTTTAGATATTAGAAAAATCTTAACACTCAAATGGATAACCAGTTTTAAAAAATACGGTACCTGAGTTTGATTGTAACAAGAAGAATGGAGGCTGTTAACTAAAGTGAAAAGCTGTCTGTCCAGAGGCTTAAATGAAGGAGACGTGTGGGTCTTTGTTTCGTGAATGGAAGAGGCCGGCTCTAGGGCCCTGCAGGAAAGCTGGACTGGCCTTGAGAAGTGAGCGCTCTTGTTTTTGAAGAGGGTTTCCCTGAGTCTGGCACTGGTCTCAGATTCCACAGTGAGCCTGCCATGGAAACACCCTCACTCCCCCCCCGCACCCCCCTCCGCCTCCTCCTTCTCCTTCCAGTATTTCTTCAGAGAAGCAGCACTCCAAACACTTTGGTGCCTTGACATCCTGACTGATTAACCCTCAATATTAGTGAGCTCCTGAGAGTCTACACTTGACTCCCCTCCTGTCCTCGTTAATGCACTGTTCGTCGCTGTGTGTTAACAGACTCAGACTGAAGGGAATCCCCCAGAGGATGGCCACTTGTGTCTCTCTCTCTGTCTCTGCCAGCCAGCCAGGCAGCTAACCTGATTAGCTGAACACAAGGAAGATCGCTATTGACATTTCAGATTCGTGTTTGTTTAGCATTATGAGAGACTCTCAGAGGTCTTCAAAATACAGTACCTTTAATGCTGTCTCTATTATCTGACTTATATTACCTTTAACAACTGTAGTCTTTATGGGCTTCCAGGTTCTTTATACAAATTGGTTGTCAGGTCCTAAATGTGTAGGTCCGCAACCTAATGTACGTAGACAAAAAGTAGAGGGACTTTTATTGATAGATACTCTTGACTTGTTCCTTTTGTCCTATAGGTACAAATAAATGCATTTAATTTTGAAATAGATAACTGCAGGTTCTCACTTGCAATCATTGTAACATAATACCATCATATCTAATATCTATTCTGATAAATGCACATTTAAATGAGTAATGTAGTGCTCTGCAGAATTTACAACTATAAAAATGTATTTTTTTAAACAGTTTTTTTACATTTTTCCCTAAACCCTTTTTGAAGTGCCAGGCTATTTTCAAACCTAAAAGAAGCCTTTTCCCTTCCAGCTTTAAGACCCAGCAGTGCATATACTTCATCTCTGTCCAGATTTTTTTTCAGAAAGTTTTATGTCATGAATCTGGAATTCTATTACCTTGGAAAGTTCATGAATAAGGCTAATAAAAAACCCTCCATTCTGCATAATATCCCCCTAATTATGGGTTTCTGGAGTCCTTACAGGCATTACTAGTCCAGTAATCGAAGGTTAAGCAGACTATTAATTTTCCGCAATGTTTTCCAATAAACACCTCCCAGAAATACCAGAGTTTTAAGTAGCAACAGACGTGCCCCCACATTCCAGAAAGATGTATAACCAAGGGTAATCCATTCCACTGGGAAAGAGCAAAGCCAGGGATCAAAGGAAGTGATAGCCCAAGCCAATTGCTGCAGGGATCTGTACGTCATATGGAGAAATTTCACCACATCAGTATGGCGCTGTCTGACAGCTTTATTGGGATTAGTTTACTGTTTTTGACTTTGTCATGAAAAATGCTACAGATGCTAAGAAGATGCAGTGTGTGAATTTACAACTACTATATAAGCTAGGCACGAGCACAAAAGAACTCATAAAAGGTTGCAGATGTGATTGGCCATTGGTTTCCATTTTACTCACTGGGTTGTTCGACCTGTGCAGTATCGCTACAGCAACCTCATTGAGCAGCATCCTCAGGGTCTAAACTGAATCAGATTTCTTGGGGTAGCAACATACTGTAGGTTGTTCCAGACAGCCAAGATTAGTTGTGTCCCCTGTTGTATCCTGTGAAGCACTCGTTTTTAATTTTAACCCCTTCTTCCTAGTCCCAGTTTTCTCTCTGAGTTTTAACTTAATGTGTAGAGGAACATACAGTACTTCTTTTTAAGATTTTAAATGCCTACATAAAATTGCTTTTCAGTCAGTGAACTAACATTTTTCAGATAACTTAACTGCAATTCTAGACAGACAATTTGAAAGTAGGCAGTTTGAAATCATTGACATTGAGTTGTTATGTGCATACAGTATACTGACATACTGTATCTGCTATGTCATGCTATTTTCATTCTGCAAAACTTCAACATTCACTAGTGGATATTTCTGATGTTCCACTAAGGTAATAATACATTATTGAAAGTGCTCATATGGTGGGGCTCATAAGAACATACAGTAAGAACAGTTACAAGTTAGAGGAGAACCTTCAATCTATCTCTCCCGTTTGGTAGTAAATAGTTAATTGATCCAAGGATCTCTCCTAGGTATTCCTTGAAGGAAGCCATTGTAACTACATAGCTGGGTAGCTCATTCCATAC